TACAGATGTCTTGCTCCATACAAATCAAGGAGTTTATGTGTTTAAATCTGGACTGATTTAACTTGCAATCAAGTGTCATGATCACACTTGGCATCAAGAGTTGCCTCATATTTATTTATAAGTCACCCTGAGCAGATATTATTTTGTTTTAGAATTTATTCTTGGGCCTCAATTACATTTCCCATCTTGTGGAACACACACACACACACATGCATGCATGCTCACTTTTGAGAAAGCTTGTAAGGTGAACAAATAATCCTACTTAAGGCACGGAAAGACAAAACAAAAAAGTTCTTGCTTTGTTCCTCTGAACAGATACACTGAGAATTAATTTCTTTTCCATACATTGAGAGAAATGGAAATGTGGTAAAATATTTTTATTAATGCTGTGCCCTAGATTAAAAAGACACAGATATGAATAGTATTGGTAATAAGGTGAAATGGGGATTTAATATGCACTAAAGCTGACTGAGAAGATGGCTGTATTTCTCCCTAAAATCTGACAGTAGCTTCTCCACAAGACTTACCAAAGGCCAAAGGTCCACCTGCCTCCAGTTTCACCAGTGGTTTTGACCACAAAATTCTTTACTCTTAAAGGTGAGAGACAGAAGTGAAGAAAACTGCTCTAAGTTGCACCTTCCAGACCTTCACTTCTTAATGTGCTCTTCAACACAGATTCTTAAATGAAACTTTGGCATGGCTGTCCTCTTTGGTCAGGAAATAACTATTCTCTGCTCTCATCCCCATATCTCATCCACAGCTCAGGATCATTCCCTGAGCAGCTGTACCTCAGTGCTGATTTCAAGGACCAACCACACCCATCTCTTTGTAAGGCAAACTCAGTATCTGCTGGGACAGTACTCACGGATGAGACTGGGAAGCAACTCACTGGGGAATCTAACCATTGGTTAGGCCACAGGCCCTTTCTCCTCACTTGCATGACAGACCTCCTCTGAGTCCAGAGAGAATTCACTCCACACGGACAAATCTTTCCATCTAAGTGCACAGTTCTCAAAAGAATGTATCCTGTTCCCACCTCTCTCTTTTCCATCTAAAAAATTCCATTTGGAAAAGGTGTCTTTCTGTTCAAAAGAAGCTTATAACATTGTTTCAACAAAATCTTTAATATGGTCTCTTTCCTATTTACTTCTCATTGCCATCTTTCAACAAGACATCACCTGAACATCATGCCTTTGGAATAAAGGACACCTGAAGTAAACACATAAACAGATGAACAGTCAATTCAGGGAGGGGCTGTTGAAGAATGGAAGAAAAAGTGGTTTACTGAAGTGTAGTGCTTCCAGGAAAAGAAAGACAGAAAGATTTCTGTGTTTGGGGAAAACATTAAAGATGTAGGTATGTACAAGGTTGATTTAATGAGTGATGTTACTTGTAGCTCAGAAGAATGACAAAGAAAAGGCCCTTTAATAAAATCCAGATTCAGCAGAGCTTACTATTCGAAAGCAATTTCTAATTTTTAGAAGGGTTAACAGAATTACTGGGTCATTGACAGTACCTTCTGGTTATCTTGACCCTAATTTACAAGGAACAGCAGTGGCTAGCAAAAGACCTCAAAAGACATTCCAACATGATCTTCTACCTCTGGTAACCATCAGTCAGTATCACAAGCCCACCCTTGCAGAGCCCATTTTACAGTATCTCCACCACCTGTCGACAATTTTGAGTTCTGAGTAGGTACAACACAGGTGGGATATAGTCAAACCTTTGATCAACTGAAGTTGCATTGGAAAAGCCATATTAGATGCCTCCAAAGGAAACAAAAAGGATCAGCCAATATTATCTATCTCCACTTAAGCTTGTATTTTCTTTTAGAACATAGGTAGAGCTGTTAGTTTTAGACCTCTAACTAGTTATATTAGGATTAATAATATTATGAATACTAGTATTCTGATTAATAAAATTACTAAAAATAAAGAACACTCCACAAGACTGTAAGCTATGGGATAGCTAGGACTCTGATTTCATTAATAAGCCACTACTGAAAAAAATATTTGATTTTAATTTTCAAAGCAAAGAAATTCTAAACTACTCTAGCTAGTCAAAATTATATGAGTGACTCACAACACAAGCAAATCACCGAAACTTTCTGTAGAAAATAGAACACAAATCCATTTCAATTATTATCTAGGAATTATTACTGTGTGCTTTAGGTTGCTCTTTCTTATTTCTCATAGAGCAATTAATAGCAAAATGCTCCTGAAATTATGAAACTGATTTAAGTGGATGGAAGTATTTCTCACTTTCCAATGCTATTAATTTAGCTGTCCAGTTATCTTTGAGGTGATCTCCATAATCTGAAGAGCTAGAAATTTTATATATTCTCTCAAAAAGAAATAAATATATATATTCAAATGAAGAACAGAAAAAAAACCCACAAAACAAAACAAATTGAATGGAAAAATTTAGGGTAATGAAACAGTTTGGGGAAAAAATAAAATATATTAATTATGTATAACAACTTTTATTTCCTAACTTCTTTTTTTAAGAAAGTATTAGAAAATAATGTTTAAAATGTTATTTAAAACTTTCATCCACTTTCTTTGACATGCTGTACATATACTTTCTTATATGCACATTTCTAGACATTGCACTTCTGGATAAGAATGGATAGGCCACGGAAGTTTTGAAGGTGTTTCTTGCTCGCATATCTAAAGGAATTAATGTGAACCATGTGCAAATTACTCGGTTCTTTCAAGGCATTTCCAGACCTCTGTTGCGAACTAGGGTGCTAATGAACTAACAAAAACATCAAGTCTGAAGGGACAAACAAATTGTACTACACTTTTGAAATGAATTTTTGAAGTATAAAATCATTCTTAAATCTTTGCAATCAAAGGACATAATATGGTAACAAATTTTTTTGTCCCAGGTTCAATACATAACTAAATTATATTTGCAATGTTACTAGTGTAATGAAGTAAAAACATGGTCTCGTGCCTTACACTACTCAAAATGATATTCAAAGAATAATTTTATCTTTAAATATGCAGCCTGTATTTTAAGTTAGTGAATCAGATTTTTATTTTATGGCTTTCTTTCAATAAGCTTAATTCACAAAATATTTTCAAAGTGTGCCTTATTTTCAGGTTCGTCTCAGAAGTACTTTATGTGCATCATCATAGTCACTCTTTCTTAGAACATATAAATGTTCTGCTGTGTTACTGTGTCTAAATGTTTGCTATTCTAATTTTATTATTACCATGATCTATCTATGTATAACTGCTGAAATGTAATGCACTGCATAAAGTTTCAAATCCTAAAGCTGGTCACTTCCTACCTCACATGCTCAATGAAAAGCTGTTTTGCATAGTGCATGACTGTTCATAACTCATTTGAGGAAAGAGACCAGCCAAGCCAAAAATTTCAACTAACAAAGCCTGTGCAATTTCAGGAACTGAAAAGGGCTGCACACATCTAAACTCCATATAGATTATGTCACTGACTCACATACTTCCCTTGTCAAATTCAAGTCTCACAAAAGTTATCAGCATACCCCAAGCAAAGGAGTCTTAATTTTTGCTTCATGTCCAGAAGTTTCATTGTACTAAAATGCAAACTTCCTATATTGTCCTTCTTAGCTGTTTTGAACTTTCATTCTTATGTTTGTTCCTATTTTTCTGTTTAGTGGGTTTCATAAATGATAAGAGAAGACATGAGAAATTTGGAGACTGGACTCTCCATCAAAACAGTGAATTTTGGCTCCTCAGTATCCTTACCACTAAATTGCTTTCATTTTGTAAGACATGATACATTTACTTTCAAACCACATCAATTTCAATTTAAAAAAAAAAAAGAAAAAAATGAGGAGCTGTGTGTGAAATGTTTAGCTAGTTTTGATTTCCTTTCGGTGTCTGCTGAAGTTTTACAGCCTAATGAAAAAACATGAAACACAAGTAAAGAAAAGAGGTGACCCAATCTCACTATTACTCCATGAACCAGGGAGATTTTGTTATGTGACAATATGATCATCATCAGATGTGAGAACTTTTATCCACAAGTACGAAAGAACTGTGTTATGCTATCACTTTGACAAATTCCATTCATATTACATTCTTCTCAGGAATCAAAAAGAATAGTCTATTAAAAATACAAAAAAATACAAAAAACCTCCCCTAAACCCCAAAGATTTTATGGACCAGCTGCTTCTGTTTAAGCCCAACTGTTTCAGTATTGATGCAGCATAGCTAGGGTGTGATGTCATCTGAAGGGCCAGTAGAATATACCCTGGTTGATCCTAAAAGTATGTAGGGGTCTAGCCTCTCCTGTCTGAATGTGCATAATTCCCATTGGTGGGGAAGGTAATTGCTCACATGCAGAAAAGAAGATAAAGTGGATTAAATTACCATAGTGGATAGAGACATGTATAACTCCTACTAAAAAAGAGACAATGATTTTCTTAATATTTACTTTTCTCACTACGATGCAGAATCTACTTAAAAAAATTTTCAGATAATAAAGGACAGTCTTATAATGCTTCTTGTTTGCTTTTAGATGACCCTACGGGGATGGAAATAATTATTTTATTCTAGTCCTTCCATTCTCTCTCCATTCATTCATTGAACCATACATCCACCCCTCCCCCTCCTTCCTAGTTCTATGGCTGATATGCATGCACAGAGATATTTGTATTGTATACAATTTGCTATATATTTAATAGAAGGCTTTCTATTTTTAAAAGTTGCAGGGAGAATAAAATAAATGTAATGACGGCTGTAGCTTATAAATAGAAATACAATACACATGTTCACAGGCACGTAGAAAGTAGAATGACATTTATTTTCTAACCAGTCACTTAAGAGGATGGCACAATATATACTATTCTGAATGCCAAGCAACAATGAAAATCTTAAAGTGATAAATCTCTCTCAATGTCGTGGGAACATGATTGTCACTTGTCATTACTGTGCATCTCTCTATTTCTTCATATATCCTAAACTGCCTATTCTTACATAATTCAACACATTTAATAGCGTAGAAAATCAATTAATATTTACTGACCTGTCTCTGCTTCTCCGTGATGGGAACGCAGCGTTACAGCCAGCCACTGTGCAGACATGCATCTCTTTTAAATGAACATTTCGGTAGTGAAGCTTCACACTGTAGGAACTCTTGAAACTTTTCTTGCAAACATAGCAGATCTTGGGGTCTGGGCTGGAGCACATTTCACCTTCTGGGGAGAACTTCTGAGGGCTGCTGTAGTTGAATGTAGAAGCGAAACTTTCATGAAGGGCAGTCATACTGGCACTGCCTCCATTGTACAGTCCATATTGGCTCATATAGAACATATCATATGTAGGGTCTGTATACTCTTCCTTCACCTTAATGACATCCTGGTTGGAAGAGTCATTGTGGTTTTCATCTGGTCTGTCACTGTGCATCATAGATTTTTCACCAGGTTCGTGGAGACGGTCATCGCCTTCCATGGATTCCTCACACAATTTGGGCTCTGACGACTCTGACTCATTTTCATAGTCTCTCTCATGCTCCTGGTCTTCCGATGTCATGCTGTCTGCCCTTCTTATGTCTGGTCTGGAAATGCATCTGCTTCTGTCACTTTTCGAAAAATCTTTCACAGACAGGCCTGGGCTCATTTCCTCCTGAGAATGGCAGTGATTGTCATGACCAATGTCATTCACCATTGTGTTGCTGTCATTCACCTCTTCGTCTTCATCATCAAACTCATCAGCAGTATCGATAACTTCCTTTTCAATTTTAACTGGCATGCTTGACTTCCTCGGCTTCTTTTTGGGGGCAAGGTCAGCATTGGGCTCTGGGGTGGGCATCAACACTGAAGGTACTGATGATTCTGAAGGAGGAGGGGGATGCTGCTCCATGCCACTCACTGCTGGTATTATTGGGCTGGTAGGAAGTGAGGTTGGAGGACTCACCATCTCTCCAGGGGTAAGTAAATTTCTGTAAAAAGGAGGAACAGGCTGGACAGTCTTTAAAGCTGGAAACACCAGCTGACTGGGAAGAGGGTTCTGTAGTACAGGGTCTAGAGGGGGAGTGGTAAACCCCATTGGTGGACGCCCAGGGCTTGTTAGAGTTAGGTTGGATTTTGTACTTGCTATGACGGGAGTGGCGGCACCTGATGTAGCACGAATTAGATCTTTGTCACGGTTATTCCTCAGCATAGGCATGTGCAGGCGGGGATTTGGGTTAGCACTATGACGATTGCGGCTTCTGAGAGAGCTGAAGACCATGTTGCAGCCTTCAATAGTGCACCGGTGCTTGATTTTCAGGTGTACAGCATTGTAGTGGATTTTAAGCGTACCTTTGTCATAGAAAGTTTTGCCACATGCATTGCAAAACACTCTTCCTTTCCTGGAGGCTGACCCCATTCTTCTCATTCTGTGAATTCGGAATGAGCTTTTAGTGTGTTCTGGTTTTGATAAATCATTGACTGGCGTGGGTGTCTGAACAGGAGAGACACAGGCTGGCTCAGTTTTGGGCTCAACATTTGTGATGCTGGTCAA